GGGGGGGGGGGGGGGGGTTACATCTATTGACCCCCGTTTTTGGACTTGACCAAACTGTATCCCTCCCCTCCCCCTCCCTGAAATTTCTGACGATAGCCCCTGCAACGACACCCAGTATTGTTATGGTTTTAGCGTAGTACCGTGCTTGCTATAAACAGTGTGAAGTGTTGAGTTTAATGAGTAATTAATTACTAATGATTATTTAGAAAGCATCTCTTTATTTTTGTCGCATATGAACGAAAATCGAGATTTTGTAGGCCATTTAGAATTCAGAGGCATGCAAGAAACCCCAGAGAGATTCGCCACTTAGATTCGGTGTAATGAGGTCGACCCGTTGTCGATTTATTGATGTCGTCAGGACTATAGTTGGATCCGTTCTTGATAGCCGCTGAGACCACCAGGAGCAGCATCGGATGAACGGGTCGGGCCCTGAGTACCAGAACTGTACGGCAGAGATTGCACCCCACGGGACTCCTGTGCAGACGGCCATGTCGCAAGCCAGTTTTGACTCCTCAGCATCGACATGACCGAGAGAAGCTAGTCGAAAAATATAAATAATATGTGAAGAGTTGAGTTATTCTTTTGTTAGTTTTTGGGGCGGGGGGAGGGGGGAGGGGTAGCCAAAGGAAAGTACAACTATATCCTAACTTCTAGGCCGGCAAAGTTCATTATTGTACACTTTGTCTACCACTTACCGTTTTAGGCGTGAACATCTCCTGCAACCAGCCCACCGACGTAATGTTCTTGTTGGACAACTCTGAAAGTATCTCGCCCGTCAACTTCGAGAAAATGATCACTTTTGTGAAGGAGCAAGTGGCCCGGTATAACATCGGCCTCACCGATACCAGGATCGCCGCCATCACTTTCAGCCGGAGTGCATACCTGGAGTTTGCTCTTGGAGCGTACAACACACTGGCAGAGGTAAGTCTCAGTCGGATAGTTAGGTCAATACCAGTCAGTTCAGGCGGACATTTTTCGTACTTCTGTCTGGGATAGAAAGCAAAAGTAACTGAGGCATACTATTATGCTCTTGATTGTTCAAGAACTATATTGCTATACACTGGGGG